TGGTGTTGTTGGCCGGACAATGGGAGCTGCCAAAAAATTTTAAATATATACATTTATGATTCTTTTTCAGTATTGCTTGACTACAGTAGTATATAGATATTCACAATAGGCATTTTCATTTTGTATTTCTCTGAATAATTTGTAGCCACTCCTACAATATATAATAAAAATGTACAGTCACATTTTTTTTGGTAATCACAACAAAAAAATTTAAGTAGGAATATTACATGATATTCCTGAAAAAAAGCTTTGGTTCACTGTACAAATGTTGATCTTTAGCTAAAATATGTTGAGACCTTTTTATTTGTTTCAACCTGTACATAAATCACAATACTTAAGTAATATAGTGTTATTTGTCTAAGGAGATATTCCAGCTTCATAAAAGTTGACAATTACATTTTTATTCAACAACTTCAAGGCTACTTTAAGGCTGGTATTAAACTTTTAATAAAGTAGTAACTTTATATGTATAAATAACTTAAAAAATGTGATGTGACCTGAGGTGGGCAAGCAACCAGAATATCCTGGGTGAGATTCACCCGGCGCTTTGTTAACGCCGTAAGGTTTAAATCAGGTTAAAAACCATGAATGCCTGAAATTGACGGCAAAAACTATTTACAACTAAATACTTGTTGTAAATCGAGTTTTGTTCAAATTTAATGATATTCCAAAATGTTTATTGCTTTTTGATCTAGACGATGTTTTTGGCTTTGTATTGCATGAAAAAATCATTGGATTATATGCACTTAATCAATCTTCAAAAGATCTAATTGTAATGTGCATCCTTAGTAGTACTACTAGGGACAAGCACAAGACTTTTTCATCCCATCACTTGGATTATGTCATATGTCAAGAAAATACCTGTCATCTGCAAAAACTGCTCTACATCCTCAGGGTTTAGATTATTTGGTGGGTCATCATCGAAACTTGACATCCAGTCAAATGGGGACTGTGATGATTGCCTCTCTGAGGTACCACTTGAACTGCTGTAGGCACAAAATAGAATAATACATATTTTATCAGCTTCTATGTACTGTTTAGGCTCAGAATGAGATAACCTGTGTTAGCATGTACAAAGCTGAACACAATTTTGTATATATAAGAATTCATATATCTATATCTATCTATTAAATATCTTTTTTGGTACTTCATTGAAACCTGATATGCATTTGTTCAGTTCTAGGCACACTAGAATATCTACAGTAATCATCTCTTGCAGTGTCTGCTGAAACTTCACAAGTTTATATGTTGTTAATGTTTTTAAGATGTACAATATCAATATTCAAATGCAAAATTGCAATGGATATCTAATCATTTTCACAAGACACTTTGCTGAGTAACTTAAGCATAAAAGTGCTGTTAATCTTACTTTGGAATAAGTATGAAATTGCAACATTTATATTATTTCAGAGCTCAAGACTCAATGTTTTGATAGCGTGTCATGTAATTGTTTACACATTCTCTGTCTAGTAGACATATGTCACATAGAGTATTGTTACCTTTTGATGAGTTATATTTACTATAGTACAAATATAAATGTTTCATAATTACGTAAAATTACATAGTTAATGTAACATACAGGCCTATTACAATCCTGAATAAATACTATTTGTAATCGTTTACCTTTCATAATAATGTACACACATATGGATCTTGTTCTGTTGCAATGGAAACAATATTCAAACTGTATAATTTCAAGTGTATAGCTTGATGTGCTGTTGACTGTACATGTCTTTCAAGAGATCCATCATTATACATTCATGCAACATCTATTAGATTTTCTAATCCTTATCTACTTAAAAGCAAAAGCATAATGGAATCAATTACAAATAACATAAGGTTAAATTAGAAACCAACTTTTTAGAGTCATCTTCACTCCCAGAATCTGAATTACTGCTTTCTGTAGGCGACGACTTAACACTCAATATAGGGGATACTGGAGGAACCAGAATTGGTGCAGCGTCAGCTAAAATTTCGCTGGGAGTCGCATCAGCGGCGTCCAGTAACGACGACCAATGGTAATCTTTTGTGAGCTGGTCCAAAAAATCATCTCCTGAAATAAAACTTTTAATAATATATTCCTCACAATATTGATTTACTAAATACGTATGTAAATTCCCCGTTTTACAGCACAGTAACGATGACAGAGATGAGCAGTAAAGGTTTACCACTTTACTACTGGCTACTAGTATAATCGTAGGCGAGAAACATCTTTGTTACTCTACAGTAACTCCACTCCACGTAAATAAAGATTCTACAATTATTTACGTGGCAGTTTATTGCGATGAAATTTCATAAAGAGCTCAAGGTTGTACCCAAACAAAGTTATTTAAACCTTTACGCCACGCCGGGTCAATAACATGTGTCCCGCACATTGTTTTTGCCAGCCAAATCATTCGAAACAAAAGTCGTAAATTACAGCTATTATTACAGCGCTTACCGTAGAAACAGTCTTTACTTTCAATCAGTATATCCGTATCCATTTGAATATCTTCATAAATGGATTAAAGGTACAGTAGTTTTGCTTCTAATAGAATTTAAAACAAATTAAACGACAACACATTTGTATGTATGCACAACGCCATTTTAAAAATCTTATAAACATTTAGTCTGTGGAAGCTAAAAATTGACAGCTGTGATGTGTCTTAATTTTCTTGCTATTTACAAGCTTGGCAAAAAAGAGTACGACGCGGTGAAAACTGGAACTAAAAAAAGATATTTGTGGCAACACTATTAAAAATGTCAGTGCTGTCAAATAGCCAGTAGCTTCTGTGTTATTACTGTATGTGCTGAGTGATTTTATACGAAGTTCTGTAAATTCTCGATTCTCGATTCGTAGTAGTGGTACAGCAGTGATATACCAAGTATTTTTGCGATGTTTGGCTGAATCTCAAGCGGGACAAATTTTGTCTCAAATTAACAATGTTTATCAGAGAACAGCCAATATGACAGGTATTTATGCAAAAAATTACATTATTATTACATCCTACAAGTCGAATTACACACTTTGCACTATCTGTAATATACAATTAACGAGTTTTTGTGTTTAGTTGACAAAAGATTAACTAAGGTTATGTTTACGTATCATTTATAAGTTGACTTATATTTTTGATCCTTTCAAGACTTAAAATTTAAAAAAATTGGTATTTTTGTATATTTGTGTATGTTTCATATTTATTTTAGATAAATCTGTCAATACCATAAAAAAATTGTTGAAGAGGGTGAAAAAAATAATGGCGTTTTTTCTACACCTGGTAAATATAGGAAAGGTCGACCAAAGAAAGATCTCGATGATTTCGACCTATGCGCAATTAGACAAAAGGTTCATTTCTTCTACACGGTAAAAAAGCATAAGCAGTTAATGCCACATCCTTCAATAAAAAAACAGTATTATATAATAAACAAAAACTTATTCTTTTTTTCTCAGGTGCCTACACTACGAAATGTATTACCTGTAGTTAAAGAAGATCTGGGATTTAATGGAAGCTGTGAACATCTAAGAAATATATTACATTCTCTGGGTTTATTTACAAAAAATGTAAAACAGACAGATCGGCACTAATGGAGAAGCCTAATATAGCAGCAAAGAGGGAACAATATTTAAAAATTTAAATGCATGATAGAAATTTGCCTCAAGAACTCCAAAAACAGGTTATTTTCTTGGATGAGAGCTGCATACACTTATCTTACAAGCTTAAAAAATGTTGTCAATCAATTGAAATTAGTGGAGTGCGACACAATATATCTAAAGGCAAAATATATATTATTGTGCATGCTGGGAGTGAAAAGGGGTTTGTTCCAAATGCACTATTAATTTTCAGTGGCACAAACAAGAATTAAGATTTTCATTCTGAAATGAATAGAGCAAATTTCACTAAATGGGTTACCGAGAAATTAATTCCCAATTTGACAGAGCCTTCTATTATTGTTATGGACAATGCTCCTTACCATTCGGTAGTCATCAATAAGGCCTTAACCAGTGCAACAAAAGTTGCTGATGTAAAGCTATAGTTGCTACAAAACAACATACAATTTGATGAAATGATGTGTAAACCTGAATTGTTAATTATTGTAAAGCACCACAAACCAGAGGCCGTTTAAGAAATTGACCAAATTTTGGGGGATCATGGTCACACTGTGGTACGGCTTCAACCATATCATTGTGACCTCAATCCTATTGAATTTATAAAATTGCCTCTGTCAATGTAGGGTCCATTGATATAAAGGTAGGGATCTAGTTCATAATTCGTTTTTCTTAATGTTATTAAGTTGAACTCATAATCAATAATATTTTTATTCCGACAGATGACAGCTGAACAAGCATTCCAAGCGATTACTGCCGAAGATTGGAAAAATTCATGCCAACATGTTATTAAAATTGAACAAGAGTGTTATGAGAGAGGCATGACTATGTATGACAACATTGAAAAATTTGTTATTAACCTCAGAGATGATAGCAGTAGCGAGACCACTTCAGATTCATGTGATTCAGATGATCCTGTTGTTGCCGGAATGTCTAGCCAAGATACAATAGACTTTTCTGGGGTAGAATATCTCGATGAAAGTGTTTTGGAATCTGATTGATTTGAATTGTAAGTTTTCGCGAATGTTAGACGACGAAGACGACCAACATCTCATTTCGCACCGTGACCATGAAGGATTCAGCCTTCGAAACGTCGAGAGTAAAGTAAATCTAAAAAACCGCGATATTATCCGAAAATTAGTTTTAAATTGTTATTTTGTTTTATTAAAATAAAATGTACAAACAATAAATGGTTTATTTTCCCATTTATCCTATTTATTTTACTATAATTATTAAACCTGCTCGAATCTCTAATCTCCAATTACTAAAATTATGCGAAGTATAACTAAAAAGAAACAAGTTGTAATTGCATTATTACTTATACAAATAATGCAAAGAAGAAGAATAAAAAAAGGCGTAGATGATTTTGGGTTCATCCTATTTTGGAAAGAAGAGAAGAGTTTGGAGAATTTCATACGAGGCTGGCTAAGCTTTTGTCCACTTAGCGACCGCGCGGTTGTATTATTCAGAGGAATTTAAATGTTGTTGCCTAGTAAATAGAATTCGAATTCGCCTTTAAAGTACGTGAAAGCGTAAAAAAGTTTTCGCGTCGTGTGTCTGGGAACTTTTAGCGCCCAGACACACGAATTTAACAATAAATAAAAATAAAAAGTATCTAAACATTTTACGTTGTAGTATATCGGGTTGCCATATATTAGATTTAGGCGCCCTCATTAAATCCATACTCTTTTTTACCAAGCTTGTACTGAATTGAATGAGTTTATGTCGGATATCGACGGTTAATAGGCAATACCTCGTATGCCACATTGACTGAACTTTACAATAAACTATAAAATAATGTTAATTTTTTTACGTCTAATTTTACTTTTGGTAAAAACTTGGTCTTATTTTATTAACAATTTACGTTACTTCAACATCTTAAACTAATTAACATTTGCTTTAGTTTTAATAAAAATGTGGTTTACGAAGCATTACTTCAAATTATAAAACTACATTTGTACTGACATGTGGAATACGAGTTATTACATTTTGTAGATTCTTGGTCAAAAATAAAATAATAATGAAACAATATAATTTTTGTTAAGTTTAATATTACTATAATATTCTATGACAATAAATAGCTGATTGTACAACAAGTGCATAAAACGCGTCATTTTATCCGAGTCGAGTACATTCATCCGAGCCCCAGGCGAGAGTGGATACTTAAGTCGAGGGTAAAATGGGTTATGAACGAGTTATACACTCTGCTTTTCACTTCGATTGCGAGGAAATTAAACAGCAATATTACAAATAAACAAGGTATTGCCTGTTAACCGTCGATATGTTTAACTACCTATAAAATATAATTGTTTAAATGTAATATACATACAATAAGTAATTTTTAAATTAATTTGTATTTTTTTTCTGTTATTCACAATATGTTTGTTCCTTAGTATATTTTTACATTAATTTGCATGCCTTGTATCAAATTAGGCAGTTATAGACAAACTACGTGCACGAAGTCAGGTGAAACCGAAAAATTTCGAATATTGGAAATTTTCCGAGAACTTGGAAAAATATAATTTCGAAGGCTTATATTATGTTCTACGTTTAGAAATATCTTTTGAAATTTTATTTAGCGTAAATTAAGAAATAAATGTACGTATGTAGTACATATCTACAGCTAAAAGCCACATAAAGAAAAATGAAATAAAAAATATTTCACCACAAAGAAAAAACTTCCAAGAACTCCACCACTACCATATTAGGCTGAAATTCAGAGACGTTCCTACACAGAACAATATACACACAAGGAGCATTCGTAAGAGTGAGTCGTATTCTAGAACTCTACTCAATGCTCAAGTCAGGACTTGAGTATGATTCAAAGCACTAGAAATTATACTCAAGTCCTTGCCACTAGGGTCGTATTTCCATTGCTTGAAATCATACTCAAATCTGCTCAAATCAGGATTGAGTACAGTTCTGGAATACGACCCTTAGATGGGTTTAGTTTGTGACCAACAAGAGGTGGTGGTGGTGGAGAGGTGGTGGAGTACTTCAACTTTTGGCAGGTGTGGAATAATACTGGAAAAATATTCATATTTCTGCAAAATATGATTTTTTCAAAGTGGAAAGTTTTCTATGACCCAACACTACTTATACGCTCAGTGGCGGATATGCAGTCTTGGCTGCCCTAGGCCCCAGGCCATATTGTCAGTACCAGCCGCTCCTTTCTCAGCACTCAACACATATTGTTAGACTACATAATTAATTTACTTTATTGCCAAATTTTATAGAAATCGATTCAGAAATTTAGTTAACTATAACAGCTGCTAGTTTTTAATATTTTCGGAGGTTCCAGATTTAAATAAAACTTTTAGAACGGTTTTTTTACGATTGGCCGCCCCGAAAATCTGACCGCCCTAGGCCCGGGCCTACTGGGCCTTAAGGCAAATCCGCTACTGCATATGCTTTGTTGGGTCGTAGAAAAATTTCCATTAAAAAAAATGGGACCTCGACATCTCGCACAGTATTAACCGTTCGGCCACCGAAGTCGTCAAATTCTACTTTTGTCTCACGTGTAGTTGTAACTGTTATGGTATAGATTCTTTAAATAATTGCGGTTGTTTTGTTAAGGTTATTAAGTTTTTAATTAAGCATAATTAGCACGCGCCACTGATCGACCGCCGTACTGACTTTGAATACGATCATGACACGCGGGCGGTGTGCATTGACGGAGCTGACACGCAGAGGAATGTTACAGTTGCTTCGGCTGGAGTGTGTTATACAGGGTGGAAATCTGTAATGCCACTTGGAAGGAGAGTACGTTAAATACTGGAGATAGAATTTTTTACTTAAAGGAAACATTCCTTTATTTTTAAAAAGAAATAATACTGCATTCAAAGATTTTCGGAAATTGCTAGCCACACGCGGGAATCGAACTCGCTAAAATCTTTAGAAAAATGCACTCCGTACGTTTATTAAATCAATCGATAGAGTCAATTATAAGGATGAAATCTCTCTTACAAACCATGAAATTTGGAGTTATTAAAGTTACTCAAAATGAATTCGTTAAAAGATTAAATTTGTGTATTCAAGAAAATGGAGCTCATTTCGAGCAACTAATTAGTTAGATTACCATTTTTTTCGTTTTATTAAAATACGTTAAGATTTCAAGGTTTTTTTTTTTTCATTTAATTAACCAATTTTGTGAGAGAGATATTATTCTTATAATTAGGGTTATCGACCGATGCAATAAAAGTGCAGGGTGCATTTTTTTCAGATTAAAGCGGGTTCGATTCCCACGTGTTGCTAGAAATTTTCGAAAATCTATGAATGCAGTTTTATTTCTTTTAAAAAATAAAGTAATGTTTCCTTTAAGTAAAAATTTCTATCTCCAGTATTTAGAGTACTTTCCCTCCAGGTGACATTACAAATTTCCACCCGGTATATGGTATATTATGCCTAAAATCATGGCCGTTTTAGGATAAGTTTACGAAGTAATATCTTAGCATTTATATACTGGGTGATACTAAAATAAAAAAAAACACTACATGTTATATTTTTATCAACGATCATAATGTTAAAAATTGGTTGGTGATAAAAAAGTCACCTGTTGAATGTTGAGTGGAACACTATTTCCGACCATTGTATAAAATTCACGATAAATAAAATTATATTTCTAAACGTAGAAAACATAACATGAGCCTTCGAAATATTTATATAAATATTTTCCCAATTTTTCATCGAGTTTCCAGTATTCGATTTTTTTTGGAAAATTACCGAACATTACACACGCTCCAACATGTTTATAGTTGCTATCAACTGTAAAAATAACATTATACGTGAAACGGAACAATTGTAAAATAATTTGACAGTTGCTTTTTTCGGATTTCGATTGATTGACCGAAGTAATTTGGTGAATTTATTTATTATTTTATTCTCTATTGTGTGGTTTCGAAATGAAGAGTTATTGTTTCTGATGGATTATCGCCTACGGCGCGAATTAGCGCCGGGTTCCAATTCAATATCTACAAGAATGGATTAAATAAAGTGTGTCGAAAGGACCGGTTGCGAAAATGTCTGTCCCTGACGACCAAGACGATTTCATATTTCGACCACAACATCATTTAGACGCTAAATGGTTAAACCCTGACTTGCAAGAAGCCCTGCATGACCCTGACGCTCTGACCACGTTGTTCAACAGTCTCTTGCAAGACAGGGAAGTTTATTTCAAAGCATCAAATGGCTTGGTCAATAGTGCGGGTGTTACAGCGAAACTTGGGGATAGTGGAAAATATTATTGTGGACTGCGGGTAAGTGTTATTAAAACAAAAACAACAGAACATTTAAAATAGTACTACACATTATCACATGTGATATTGATATTTTTTTAAAGATTCTAACATGCAATTGTTGTGATGGTTTGTGTGGTCCTCACTCGGGTTGCGCGTGTGGCCCATGCTCCATACTATCCTCTGAAGAAGAGCTTAGACTTGCCATCCAGTCCAAAATTGTACCTCCTCCACCATCCATCCATGTTATTGACGAAATAAAGTGGAAACAAGATCCAGGTAACTAAATTATGTTAACCAGTTTAATTAAGTACCTATTTAGTGTTTTTATAAAGACACCTTTTTCTGATATTCTTTTAAATGTAAATAAATCTAAATAAATTCCTCAATAGGGCAGTAATTGACTACATGATATTATTAATAACAGTTTTGCAGACACTTTGAGTAAGAAACGCAAATTTAAGAAAATAGATTAGTAAATTTGGTCTGTGAACTATAATACTGTCCTTTACTTTATTAAACTAAAACTAGAGACAGCATGATACTTAATCATTAAAGATAAGGAATGTTTGCACAATTGTGCATATAACATGTCATTATCAGGTGTAAGCATAGATTTAGTATATCCATAGATTGGCCCTGAAGTATTGGAGACGAGACCAAAACAAAAATACATCTGTGTGATTATAATGTGCATGTGTGCAAGATACATAGTGTTGTGCCATCTACTGATTTAACTTTAATATCGATTAACATATTACACCAGCATTTCACTTCGTTGTATTCACCAAAATGTGTTATCACAAAATGCCGAGATGTTCATTAACTAGTTAATTAATGATTCAATACAAAATTAAGAAAGCTACTATCACCTTCTGGCAGTGCCATAGGATGTTAGGTAAAGGGGACTTTCACCCAAGATAAATAACACTGTGAGATTTAAACACAATTTCTGTATTTTTGTCAAAACTTTAGGCTCAGTTGTTTCGAAGATAAAGGGGAGAATGATCAATGTTCGTCTATTTTCTTAAACAACTTAATATATTATTATTTATATATTATAATTTTGAAATATAAATATTTATATTTCAGAATTACAAAAAATATATACTTGAGACGTTTCCCTCCCAATGGTGACTTCAAATTCAGAATTAATTTATTTATGTTTCACGTTTTGGTCACACAAATGCATATGTGTACCAAATTTCAAAATAATCAGTCCAGTAGGTTTGGAGTAAATTGGCTGTGACAGGCGGACAGATGGACACACAAGTGATCCTATATGAGTATCGTATTTTGGAACAGAACAGAACTCTAACAAATAGCTTATTTGTCAACAATAAATCAGAAAGATGAAAGTAGTACTACACAAAAATCCATTAATTGTAAGACATACATGAATAATGTGGGTACAGAACCAGAATGTAGCTTTACTCTTTGCTTGCCTCTAAAGGAAAAGCATTTTTCCTCAAAGTGTTTGCTGCATAAGTTTGAAAACTTTTTGGGAACCGAGTCTTCTCTCTTTAGCATTATTAGCCATTTCTGTCGTACTTCAATGTTTTGAGAAAATCTGAATCAGCAACAATAATTAACATAAAAAAAATGAGTGCTCAACTACGCTATTAAAAGAAATTTTCGTTTTAATGTAAACAAAAAATAATGTAATAATAATCATTAAATATAAACTACTAAAACCAGAAATTTTTGATTCAATAATATTAAGTATGAAGATGATTTTGGCTGTATGCAAGCCACGCCTTTTTTCTTTTTTTCAGTTAATGACATCTCAATAACATATTATTGATTGCGTCAATCTCTATGAAAGAGGGGTGATGTTTTTGAGAAATTCACATATTTGATATATTTTTTAATTGAATTCGTATGCATTTGGGTTATTAATGCACTTGAATGGTATAATTTTATGGATAAATTTTGTGTAAAAAACTTTTATGGTAGTGCTTTTAGACAGCTAAAAATTGAAATAGTACTTACATGTGAAATGTACAATTCTGAGAGTTTTCCTTTTTAGATGAGTTACATCAGGGCACTGAACACGTTACCATGACTAATAAATGTCCATTTAACACTATTTCACATTTTAAACCCAATTATTTTTCAAAAATAAACAAAATTTGTTTCGTTGTCAGCTGACCCTAGGCTCATAGCGTATAATGAAGTGGTCTCGTCTACCCATCTTGCTCTAACATACGTGTATACTAATGCTCTTTCACTTGCATTGCCAATCTATGGGTATAAGTAATTCAATATACCTATATACTGAATCTATGGGTGTAAGTAAGACACTTTTCACTCTACAATAATTAAGTAAGAAATTGATGATAATGGTATGTTCTAGGTCCAGAATGCCTACAAAGCCTAATGGATTCTTTAGTCTGGGAGCAGAGAGTGAGAGCAGTTAATACAGCCGTCAGTTGTCCATTCATCTCACAAATCCGTCGTCTCATTGTGCTATGCAATAGACACCTTGTAGCTGTTATTAGGTATTTATTTTTAAATTAGCCTCTGTCCATTTCCCACATAAGACATTCCCAATGTGCTAATCAAACAATAAAATACCTTTCAGCTATTATAGTGTGGTTGACTATGAATAACAATATCCAAACTTTTGCTTGGAAACATTAAAATTAAACAAATGCATAAATTCATAATGGACTGAAAACTTGGCATCCCTATCTACCTAAAACTAACAAAAGATAAATTCACCAAGACTTGACTTTATGGAAAGAATTTATAATACAATATATAAACGTCACAGTTATCATTATCAATGATATCTTTATAGCACATAAATTGATCAAAAATAAATATTTAGCCTTTTTAACTGACTTCAAAAAAGGATGATTCTCAATTCGACTGTATTTTTTTTTGTTTGTATGTTAGGCGATTGCTCGTGATTTGTGGACTGTTACTGATGATTCTGACTGAGGTACCAGGTAAGGTAGAGGTTGGTCCCATTTAGATTTGAAGAAAATAATCCACCTCTAAGGGTAGCAAACTAGTGGATGAATGATAGGGGTTCCGTTCACTTTCAGGTATAAATCCACGAACTTTTGAGGTCGGTTTTTTTTAAATGAAAAAGCTATATAGATTTTGATTTATTCGATAATGAATGTGTGAAATTATACATTTATGATGTTAGTGGGATAATTAAACTTTGTTTAACTCTAAAGCATTATTAGGCACTTAATATCTCTAAATTCCTTATAAAACAAATATTTCGAATTCTTTCCACAATGGTAAAATATCGACAGACATGAGATTATTCTTTACATTCACTGGCGACGATCGCCATAATTTTTAGAATATTTTATTATTAAAATTACCCAAACACTAGCAGAATTGTCCTCAATGGGACATAAGCCAAAGCTTACAAAATAAGATAAACAGACATAATACAGCCACTCATTTGTTGTTAATCAAAGAATTTGGACTTCATATTTTTGAATTCTCTATTTCCATTTACACCAGTTCTCATTTTGTCAAAAACCCACTTATGTAATATTTTTTTTTTGTCAGAAATGCTTGAATAAAGTCAATTTCAAAACTTATTTATTATCTATAAATAAAGTAACTGAAAAATTTAATGGATAAATTACTAGCATATTTAGGTCAGTATGTATTGCATAGTAACATTGATAAAAACATTACAAGTTCCATGGTTCACTGGTTTCATTCCATTCTTTAATTGGCAATTTTCAACACTTCTTTTCATTGATTGTTTAGTAATTGCAAAGTTAATAGTTTTTAATATGGTGTAAAATATTTATTCATATAATTTTTAAACATATTACTGATATTTATCGAGTTCTTAGGTTTTCGCGATTGTTACACATAGGAAATGAAATTATTTTTCCGGATTTAAATCGCGTATATTTGTTTTTCAAACAAACCGACGTTTCGGGCCCTTTACAGGTCCCATGGTCACTGTTGACTGAGGCGGTACAGTCTTCAACCAGTTATGTCTAATATTGATGCAAACCACCCTATTTTTTCACTATAGTTACAATAGTTATTAATTAATACCTTATTTTTAATTTTACAAAGAAAACATTCCATTTTACGCTACATTAAGTTTTACAAATTATTTTATTGAATGAATTTTTATTAAGTTCAATTTATTATTAAATATTCATAGAAATTAGAATAAACTAAAACATATTAATTAGTACTACAGTCTCATGTCTGTTTGGGATTTTTAATTAGAGGAAATACTGGATCCCAAACTGGTGGTACGGAGAAACCATCTTCACTGTTGAAATTAAGATGTTTTTTAATTTCAATGGCCTCTCGCAGCATCCTGGGTAGATAACGGACTTCATTTGCAAGGGCCTGGGGTTTGTCAAACTTCATTGAATGTGTACGTGAAACAACCAACAGTCGAGCGAAGACCTGCCATCTTACCTTACGTGAGAGGTGTTACAGACAAGATCGGAAGAGTTCTCAGGCGTGCATCTATCAAGACCTATTTCAAGCCCCTGAGGAAGATTTCTCAGTTCCTGAGACCCGTGAAATGTAACATCCCCTTACAGGATGCAGGAGTTTACAAGCTTGACTGTGATTGCGGTCTCTCTTATATTGGACAGACAAAGCGAAGTATTTGTACCCGCGTCAAAGAAATAGAGCTGATGTCAAACACCGTCGCGTAAACAAGTCTGCAGTCTGCGAGCATGTGACTACCTACCTACACATTCAATGAAGTTTGACAAACCCCAGGTCCTTGCAAAAGAAGTCCGTTATCTACCCAGGATGCTGCGAGAGGCTATTGAAATTAAAAAACATCCTAATTTCAACAGGGAAGATGGTTTCTCCGTACCACCAGTTTGGGATCCAGTATTTCCTCTAATGAAAAATCCCAAACAGACATAAGACTGCAGTACTAATTAATATGTTTTAGTTTATTCTGATTTCTATGAATATTTAATAATAAATTGAACTTAATAAAAATTCATTTAATAAAATAATTTGTAAAACTTAATGTAGCGTAAATTGGAATGTTTTTTTAGTAAAATTAAAAATAAGGTATTTAATTAATAACTTTTGTTACTATAGTGAAAAATTAGGGTGGTTTGCATCAATATTACACATGACTGGTTGAAGACTGTACCACCTCAGTCAACCGTGACCATGGGACCTGTAAAGGACCCGAAACGTCGGTTTGTTTGAAAAAACAAATATACGCTATTTAAATCCGGAAAAATAGTTTCATTTCCGATATTACTGATATTGTTGTTCATATTTACATTTGCTATAAAAATATGGTAAAACCTTTCACAATGTAGATTTTGTTCGCTAGGTTATATTCTAAAGCTTGTTTAATTTATTCTGAGTATGAATAATTTAAATATTTGAGTATAATAAAAATAATTGAGTACATGCAATTGAACATTTCTTGTCCTGAACAACCATATACAATGTCAATCAGTTCTTATACGAGTTTTATAGGTACAATCATTCCTTTGTAATATTTTTTCATTTATGAAGAAGTTTATTTTTTGACAGAGACCAAAATAATCACAAAGAAGTGAAGCGCAAAGCATTAGAAAAGAAACCTGCACATGGAGTCAGTAATAGAGCTTTGAGTAATGTAGTTGGCTCACTTAACAAATCATTAGAAGTTGGGGAAACCCAAGAGGAGACTGAGGAACATACTGATGATTCCGAGAGGTATATAATTTCCAATTATGGGTTGTATTGTATTTTTAATTTCATTCTAAATTAAGCTATATTATCTTGTTTATTTATCTTTGAGTACACTTGTTTAGCTAACCAACTAAAGTTGCAGTACATTTAGCAGACTCTATATAGGTCTTCAGAAGCACACAAGTAAAAATAATTACAAACATAGTTGTTCCTTGTTATTTATAACATTGGTAGATTACACAAATATACAAATTTTGTGTAAGATAATCTGTTGATGTATTTGATTTAAATTAATGGTGTTGGTTTTTATATATCATATATCAGTATGGTTTACTTTACAAATTTGTATTGCTTTTGTTTCAATATTGTTATTATAATACTAAAATATTTACAGCGCGATAGGCCTAGCACGTGTCGGTGCTCGGGCGGCCTTGCGCCTCGCCCTGTCTCTAGTCCGTCGTGCGTGGCGTTGCGGGGAAGATGCAGATGTATGTTCTGCACTTCTTCGTGATGCTTTGGATGCTGTACGAGCGTTGCCCGATGCGGCGTTATTCGCGGGCGCGGGTGCCGCCAATCAGGCACCTAGATCGCAGAAAATTTGGGCTGAAGTTGTTGATAGTGCTGCTAAGTTCCTACATCAAGTTGTTACTGGGTAAGTTAATGTAATACTCGTCTGTGTCCTGATCGTCATGTGAGATGATGATGATCAACCGTAAGTCCACGCATACATGTGGAGTCGCAACAACGTATTTCAGTGTCAAATATGTTGGTTGGATTTGTAGATCAAAACCCCGAACTTGTGCATTGGGTAGTCTTTTATACAAGGTGTAATTTTTCAACAAGAATAATGTAATTGGGATATACGTAGTAATGTAAAATAATAATATTAATGATAGTTAAATACAACTACTATAATTTTATACTATTTCCCACAAAATCCGGTGGGCTTACGGGGTTTATTTCAGCCTTTATATGGGGGGCTGTGAATGTGTTAAGGTTGTTATGGGTTTAAAAAATTATAACCCCAAGGAAAATAATTGACTCTCCACATTAAAAATGTTGATGTGTACTCTACCATACTTCTGGAATTAACTTCAAACTACGAAATATAACAACTCATCATTATTTCAGTCACTACTGAGTAGAAGTCTCATCTCTATAATATAACTATAGTTATTTCGCTTACGCACTCTTGCATGTGTCACGGCCATTATAGGCAGCAACAATATTATCAAATACATAATAATAATGTTTTATGCATTTTGTAGGATGGACACATACATATCCGTGGCCATATTTGCATTTTGATTTCGCAGGGAAGTAGGCTGTAATGTTCCACTAGGAGACTGGAGAACATCGCTCTGCGTGTGGGTGGAGTTATGTGCACGACGAGCCGAATTACCAGCTTTGTTGAAAGCAGCCGACGTGTTGGTCACACTGCCGCCGAGGCAGAAACGACAACCTGACAATAGGTATAGTGCTATTTTGGTTTTCTATATCCTCAAAGTTCAGTAGGATTATTAGATATGCGCGAATTCTCTTGAGCGCTTATTTTTTAAACAATGACATTGCGTTGTTGCGAATAATAGTATCCACATACATGGATAATTAGCATAAATTAATATATTCGCATAAGCATCAGCCTCCGCATTGATCGGCGCTGATATTCATTGCGGATATCCGCGTGGTGGTGAATAAAGGGGTGGAGAATATGACACACTGGAATAGTTTACACACCATCCAGAAACAGACTGCAAGCCCAAAAAGCAGCTCAGCCTTCGTTCTTACCTTTGATAAAATTTCAATATGATTCGGCTAAGCAGATTCATTGATTTTATGCAATTTTTAACCGACTTCAAAAAGGGATGAGGTTCTCAATTCTTGTTTTTTTTGTATGTATGTTACGCGATAACTTCGGTGTTTTTATTCCAGTTTCCAAACGGTTTGTGAACCGATTTGGTTGATTTTTTTCCCATTTAAATTTCAAGAAAATATTCCACATTTAAGGGACTAGGGAATGAATCCGTTTTCGCGCACTTTCCGGTAAGCAATTCCAAGAAAACTTGGCAAATAGATGTAATTCCATGAATTTTTGAGGTCGATTTTATTAGTATTCTGTACGTACTGAGATTATTTAATTCACAAATGTCATAAATTTATTTAAAAAATCAAAATCATTTTAGAAACTTTTTCATGTATATCTCATAACGGTCTCTACATTTTTCACGGTTTTTTTAAATAGGTAAAATAGCGTTCGCATCAACATGTGCTGATGTTAAGGTCAAAAATCAGCGTCCGCATCCGCACCCATTGACGTGCACAAAAGCTGCATCAGTAATAACTTTGATGTAGACTGCTAAATAACATGAGACTGTTACAGTGATTTAGTTACTCTTAAACATGCTGGTATTTGACCCTGTATTTGTGTTGTTAACACTCGCTCTGTTTAATTTTTTTTGGACTAGAATTAGCCTTGAAGAATGCACTGCACCACTAGGACCATTTCTACGCCGTATGGCCAAAGTACCAACACCGAACCCGATTGTAAACACTGAGCCTGTAATTGAAAATAATCCCACGGAAATCTTTCTGAAGTGAGTATATCATAATCAACATTGCTTATTTTCACATATTATAAAAACATTACTGGAAAAATAAAAAGCAAAACTTTGGTAACTCTGCACCCAATGAATTTATTTCAAAAAAATGTGGGACGAAAATTATGGACATAAATTAAATGAAATTTTAAATATTTTAAGATGTGTATTATTTTAGTCGTGCGTATTTGTAAAAAATATATATTTATGTTTTTCCTTAAAAAATATTTGATTACTTTTTGTGTTACGGGGTTTATATTAGATAACAGAACATTATATGAAAATTATGTCAAAACTTTTGCACGTTTACATTAGGGACACTTTGTAAATCAACAACGCGTGTTGGGGTATTATACCATAATTTTTTCCTACAAATGGAGGATAGCATGGTCCACATTATTTTATATTTCCAAACCGAAACTCAACTTATTTTTTTTGCAGAGAACTAAACATCCCTAGCGGCGACGGATTGATGGAAGTACGCAAGGCTGGTATTGCTTTATTGTGTCATATGGAAAGGCTGGGTGCACCGCTGCTACCTCCGCTTAAGGGGTTCGTTACTGTAAGTAATCATTCGCGGTGCCATATTCATTAGTAAACCATTGGGAAAGTATATTATAAATATATTTCATGTCATAACTTTTGTTTGGGGCCTGGTTTTAATTTTCACCGTCTTTTTGGCATTTTCAGTCAACATTAATTCATTGCATGTAAAAATTTGCTGTAACTCCAATATAAGTTACCATTGTATACGTCACCATCGGGCCAGCGGTCATTGTTACACCTTGCAAGGTGCCCTGTTAAGCACATACACACCGTGCAAGCTGCTTGCACTGGGATATGGTGTGGCTTGCAAGTCGCTTTAAATGCGAAGAAGCTTAACTATGTAAATGAGTCTTGTGAGCGTGATAAATAATAATGGTGAACGTAGTTGGTGGTCCATTGAGGCAATCTAAAAAGTCTATTCATATACCTGTAAATCTCACCTTTACATTACAGTGTACAGAATCAGCTCAAGAAGTAGTGTCAGTTGGTTCTGGCCCGTTACATATAGGAACGTTACGCATACAGCAAATCGCCTGCGCTGAGAAATTGGCATTACTGTTGACTCATGACGGCGCCGTGTACACTCTGCCTTATGATACGATGACACCGCAACTCGTGCCAGGCAAGTTATAGAAATATCTATTTTATATGAAATTTGCTCAACATTCCTTCTTGTGCCGACTTCACATTCTGCCTAAAGTCCTAGCCAATCCCTCTCGACACACCTTCATCTAAAAACTGTAAGTGCCAAATAGTAATTTTTACTACAGAGTGTTTTAAAGAGAAAGGGGCTTTTTAATTCGGCAGTTAAATTCAATGTTAAGGTCAAATTAAATATATAAAAAACAAACAACGATATGACTTAATGTCTTTTACCATTGCGTAATTTTTAGCATTCTGAAGCAATGTTAAAAACATCTAGAGTGGTTACATACGGCGAGTTTGAGCAGCGATACAAACGCGAGATTGCAACGATACAAACGCGCGATCGCATCGATGCAATCGCCTATAAATTGCAAGTATAGCGATGCAATCGCGCGTTTGTATCGAAGCAGTCGTGCGCTTGCATTGCTGCTTAAAATTGTGCGCGTGTGTAAAGGTAGACGATTAGCGATTGCATCGCCACTGCATCGCGTGTTGCATTGCTGCTAAAAGCCGCCATGTGTAAACCGCTCTAAATTCCGAAGTACGGATTTACGGGACTTAACCTCTCACCTACAGATATATTCGCGAGGAGATTCTTTTCCGACCATTTTTGTGTTAGGCTCGGCGAAATGTGTTAAGCTGATTTTTATGTTTTCCTATTTCTTTTGAGACTAGTGTTAATTAAATGTTGGTTATTGTTCCGACACTCCTCATTTGATTTAATAAACTTAACATTGTTGTCAGGTCTTGAAAGCAAGACAATAACGCAAGTGGCATGTCACTCTGCCGGTCGGCACTTTCTATGCTGCTCCTCGTGCGCCGCAGTCTGGTCCTGGGGCGCCGGGGAAGACGGGCGACTAGGCCACGGGGATACGGCATCAAGAGATGCACCCGCTGCCATACATCATCTAGCTCACCATGAGGTTATCAGGGTCGTTGCTGGACCTGCTTGCAGGTAAGTACTTTCTTGATTCGTGAAACGGGGAAAGTTCACCTTCGTTAATAAAAATTTAATAAATTATTTCGTAAATTACTTTGCTAATCAAAGTGAAGGGTAAATCGTTCGAAATACCTTTTTTACGACACGAATGTCCATAGCAATGCTGTGCCACTCGGAGCTTTAAATTGCCGGTCACCCTGAGACATAAGTTAACAAGTCCCATGTGCCTGTAATTTCACAAGCACCCTTAATTATCGTTCAAAACCGGAACGCAGTAATGCTTACATAACTGCTTGGCGGCAGAAATAGATAAGGTGGTGATACTTCTCTGGACGAACTCTACCACATGGAGCTCTTTTGAATGTGAATAACTGCACTTATGTGGAATATTTTTTTCATGCAGTTAATTTTTCCACCCTCTCTCGGCATAAAATTAATAAAATAAATAATGCAAATACATATCGAGTTCTTAGGTTTTCGCGATTGTTACACATAGGAATGAAACCACCTCAGTCAACCGTGACCACGGGACCTGTAAAGGGCCCGAAACGTCGGTTTGTTTGAAAAAACAAATATACACGATTTAAATCCGGAAAAATAGTTTCATTCCTAAATGCAAATACAACTACAATCACAAACACCACCACCAAAAATATACCCGACTCATGGTTCGCTTTTCTACGAGGAATTCTCTGGAGTTGTTGATTGTTCGAGTCTCGAGAACATGTAGATCAGGAAAAATTTGTAATCTTCGTTATAAAATTTAATACAAGGATCGAACAGAATCGAGAGAAAAATTCTTTCGATCTGACAGGACACCAATCTGCGTCTGTATGCAAAAGGGCCTCCGCTTTACCAACTGCGGCAAAGATCCAGGACAGAACTTACGAATTCCTCTTAAGTGTTTGTTACAGATTTTTGTATTAGGTTTTCTCGGCTTTTATCGCCGTAAGTAGTTACTTTCGTGTAGCAAGAAACCTTTACGTTTCCAGAATAGACATCAAGTTATATTAAGACACTTAAAAGGGTCGATGACCTTGACCGATCGATGTTTTATGCCACGCCTACTATATTACAATTATGAAATGAATTAGCTAGAAATGAGATGCATTGCGGGCGACATAGGCCCATCTAGTAACGTGTCTCAGCTATCATTGCCGATCTTAGTATGCGTTAGAGGAGAAATTACCAACAGTTTGCGCGTCTCAAAAAAGAGTTTATTTCCAAAATTAGGATCAAACTGGAAAAATAAAATAACCGCGGTCTTCGTTATTGTTTAATACCTTATTCTTCAAAGTTCTATAAATTTTACTTGGTGTATTACGGATATATGTGCGTTGAATGGGATAAGAGGTTACTTTGATTTTTTTTATCTACGAAATATTGTAAAATCTTGTTTTGGAAACAACAACATTTTGGATAATATGATGAAGAATAATACACATTTTTTCCATTGCCACAAGTTGTACAGACCTTGCTAAAAACGCTTTAAAGTGAAGCCGAAGTTGACGTTATTTAGCGTCTTACTCAATAAAATGAATAAATCACTTCACCTATGTTTGGTTCGTTTGGAACACAGTAAGGTAAGAACTGGAAGATGGCTTGTTTATTTTCTCCGCAGTGCTGTGATAACATCTCGAGGTGCTCTGTACACGTGGGGCCGAGGAGCCCACGGTCGTCTCGGTCACGGGACCATCGAGAACTGCCTTACGCCGCAGCCTGTGTCCTTCCACGCGCATAATATTGAAAGAGTCATCGATATCGCACTTGGTAAGTTTCGTTCTAAAATACCATTAATGAGATGCGCTTGCTTTGATTTCAACTGTTAGCTTGTCGACTATCCCACCGAATAAACGTGTATTATGAAAATACCAACTTTACATGTAAAATAAAAAAGTAAAAACTTCAGTACATCTGTACCTGATGGATTTATTTCGAAAAAAATGTATGACGAAAACGTTGGAAATAAATTAATCAGTGTTTTTACATCGTAAATGATTTTTTTTGTAATAGATGTATGTTATTTTATGCGTGCGTAATTTATAGTTATGTTTTCCTTAAAAATAAATCAAGTTACATTAAAAAAAATTGTATAATATAATCAACATGTATATTTTTTTAATGTGTTTAAGTATTTTTTTTAAACTATAGATTGGTAATGGAAAACTGTAGAAAACCTTTGTATACGTTTATTGGAGAGGTACGTTGATATGGAGATATTCCAATTGCCTAGCACTAGTTCGAATGCTCTAAAAAGACTCGGTAATTTTGTGTTGTGTTGGTTTAGGGTGGGGTGAAAGTCAAACGTTATGCTGTACTTGGGAAGGGGCAGTGCAAGTTTTCGGCGACAGCGAAGGTGGAGCGCCGCGTGCGTTGACTTCGCTGTCGGTACTTCGAGTCACTCGCGTTTATACCGGTGAACATTGGCATGCTGTTCTTACAGATGGGTGCGTATGAAATATCCTAACTTTATTATGATTCATCAAGTTTAATGTTACTCTCCTACGCAATATGCTATAAGGCTCAATTTGTGGAAACAAGTTTTTGTAACCATAACTTCATGATCTTCATATCATGTCGATCTGAATGTGTAACGTACAAACTAGATACGAGCCAAAAAATAGGTCGCGTATCTTCTGGAGAGTTCTCGCTAAGTCTCGGGTTGTCGCTGCTGCAAATGTATAGTATCTTGTTTGTACGTTACACAATTGACATAATAAAACAATCCGTTCCGCGGACATGTAACTTGAGACTAAAGGTCAGCGCAAACCTGTGGACGGGATGGCAGACGAGTTTAGCAATGTATATTTTATGCTACTTCAATAGAAATACGGTAGAAATTGCCATACTCTTGAGACCGTCCTCGGAGCATTGCAATTTATTTCTTATTTCAAGTGAAATAGGATGAAATATACTTTATAATAATTTTAATGTCCTTTACCTTCCCGTCTGCCGTTTTGTGTTGGCCATTAGGCTCAATTTACATTGCCGCGATACCTGTCGGTACGTGTCTGTAGTCTGTTCCAATCCATTTTAAACGAAATTAAACAAAACGGTTTGGTTGAACTTTTAAAGCAGCCTTTCCCAAAGTGGGCGATAACGCCTCCTAGTGTAAGTGTAGGTAAGAGACCCAGGAAAAAAATGGGGGCGTTGTGTAGAGGCTTAGCGGGAGATTTGTAATTTCGTATTCTATGGGTCGTATTCTAGAACTCTACTCAATGCTCAAGTCAGGATTTGAGTATGGTTTAAAACACTCGAAATCATACTCAAGTCCCTGCTATTAGGGTCGTATTTCCATTGCTTGTGTTTCAATTGCAATCCTGACTTGAGCATTGAGTAGAGTTCTGGAATACGACCTTAGACATCGACTGAGCTCTCGACTACAACTTATGAACATCAACTAATATTAATTAAGAGATTGCTCAAACTAACTCGGTTCGATATTTCTCTCCGTGTAGTTCATATATCTGTCCTGTTTTATTGAATGAATAAAATAAAAATCATGTCAATCGGTCGCTCCGTTTCGAAATGAAAGTAGACACAAACAAACAAAAAAAAAGGCAACAGTTTCGCATTTTAATAGTTATTAGTATTCCTAGATAGGTAATTTTCGTAGATAATAGACCGCGGGCAATCATGTTTTACCAAGTTTTTGTTAATTAACCCGATTTGTGCATTCCTGTATCAATAGGCTGGTTCATAGAATACTTGTTTTTACTTGTTGAGTACGATTGAGCGTCGAACGAGTTTATGCATGTTTGCCTTATTTCTGTCGGTGCGTGCTGCTTATGCAATCCTATATAAGCTACGTAATATTTATTTTATTTTCATTTGCGGTTTCGCGCGTAATCGATAAGCAGTACTTAAGCTTAACACTTACTTACGTATTTCTCAAAACAAGACGATGTCGGAAGTAAAAAAGAAGAGACGGCAATACTGTGCGGAATATATTAAATTCGGATTCATTGAAAATCCCACAAACCCATCGCCGCCGATGAAGCCTTCAAGACTGTAACATCATTTGAATAAAATGCATCCAGATAAGAAGACAAGAATGTAGCATATTTTCAAGACCTAGAGAAGAAGCATAACCGCTCACGCGATACATGCAGCCGTAGACGCTTACCACACCTAGAGGTGCCGGTGATGATTTTATACTTATTATCGGATATCGAAGTTATAACAGGTAAAATAACTAATATTAATTGCTATTTCGGTAACTACTCTAGCAAACCATAAAGTTTTTAATGCCTGGGTCTGTCATTTAAAAAAATAAACAACTTCAAAAATACGTCATGACAATCGTGTGAGTGTTATTGTTTGGGCTGGCGATTTCGGTGTTTATCTATTGAAAACATGCCGTAAGTGGCGTTTTTTAAGTTTACCCTGTATATAAATGTTTATAAACTATACTTTAAGGAGTAATTTCATGGTAAACGTTAGAATCACTCAAACGGAATATTATCATATTTGTCCAAGTACACCAAAAATTTCATTAGTGCTTTTTAAGTGCAGAGTTTGCGGTGTATTACTGCATTTTATTTGAGATGTTTTTGTTGGTAGTACGGAGGGTAATTATTTAGCAATGCAGAATAAAAAATTTTAAATTTAAATTTTAATAAAAAATTTATTTACTGTGCTGAAGCACAGTAGTTAAACCGGTCGCAGATATTATTGGAAAAATTCCTTTGAGTAATAATTCTGTGCAAAATCGAATTGATGAAATGGCTGAAAACATTGAAGAATCATTGTGCAATCATCTGAGGACTAGTCAATTCTGAATTCATCTCGATGAGTCCACTTTACCAACTAATGAAGTATTGTTGCTGTCTTACGTGAGGTTTATTAAAGATGAGAAAATATGTGAAGAACTATTGTTTGCTAGAAATTTAAGTGAACGACTATTTCAATCACTGCAATATGTCATCAAAGCAGTCAGTAAAATCCGTAACAGGTCTTTGAATGATAGATTATTTCATCAGCTTTGTGTTACTATTGACGAAGATTTCAACCGTTTGTTATTTCATACTGAAGTTTGTTGGCTATCAAGAGGCAATTGTCTGACTCGATTTTACAACCTGTTTGACTCTGTGATAGAGTTCTTGGAAACTAAAGATACAGAACTGCGCAACAAGCTCATTACATCAAATAATGATATAGCTTACATGGGCTGTATAAATTGTTCAACGACATGAATCTCCAACTGCAAGGCGATGAACTAAATTTAATTAAAACTGAAAATGACGTTGCTGCTTTCGCAGCAAAACTGCTTCTACACAAAAAGAATATAGGCAGATCTGAGTTTCACAGTTTTCCGAATTTATCAGTATCCTGCAGTAACGACGACTTGTTTGCATACTGCCAACATTTAGAAAACCTCCACATTGACTTCACTGAACAGTACCAGGACATTTCGAATTTGGAAATATCAGACTGGGTGTTGGATCCGTTTTCAAATATCAACACAGCAATATCACCTCAGCTGGAAGAAGAACTTATAGAATTGACAACGAACGAGGAAATAAAAATCAAGTTCAAGAACGGCTACCAAGAATTTTGGCTACAAAAACCTATGCAATTGTACCCTGGATTGTGGTCAATCGTTCAACGATTCTTGATAGCATTCCCATCTTCATATTTGTGTGAATGTGGTTTTAGTGCTATGACAACGCTGCTTACTAAAAAGAGAAAGCGTTCGCATGTTACCGAACGTGGTGACTTGTGGCTGTTCTTGAGTAAATTGGAACCTGATATCAACTAACTTATTAAACAGCATCAGATTCATCCTTCACATTAGTTTTTATATTAGAATCGATTATGTTTGTTTTATTTTGAATAAAAGATACTCTGTCTGAATACTATAAAGTTGCGTTTCAATAATCATTCTCATTGGCAGGTGTAGCTCGTAAGAGTTAACTTGAGACCTGAGCGCCGTTGTGTACTACCTACTGCGCTCAGGTCTCAAGTTAACTCTTGCGGGTTATAGTAAAAGTCTCGTTTAGAACGAATGTTTAATCTTCGCTAATATAGCTCACAATAATTAATTTAATTTGAAATTGTAGTGTTTTTAAGTAGGTGAAAAAATGGGATCGCTAAAAAATAATTTATTCTCAAAGTGGTCAGTAGACAAAATAAGTTTGGGAACCCCTGTTTTAAAGTAATCACTCAATAAATCGAATAAGTGACACTTTCACGTATATTTTGAAGGCATCACTTTTTCCACCAATATTTATTTGAATAACATACTGGAATCTTATTTGAACAATGTTAGTTCAAAAGTGAGGTTATTTCTCAAATATAGATTTGTGAAGAGTCTATGGTTACATAGTGCTATACTGAAAAAAAAAACATTCAGTTCATTCAATTAAAGTTCTTGTAATCGATTAGTAAATTGAAAATTTCAATCGCATTCGAGCGAGTATCTGAGGGTCGTATTCTAGAACTCTACTCAATGCTCAAGTCAGGATTGCAATTTAAACACAAGCACTGGAAATACGACCCTAATGGCAGGGACTTGAGTATGATTTCGAGTGCTTTGAATCATACTCAAGTCCTGACTTGAGCATTGAGTAGAGTTCTAGAATACGACCCTAAGTGTAAGGATTTAAAGCAGGATTCAAAATTAAGATTTCGGAAATTTTAAATGTATATAGATTTTAAGACTTTCGTGGTTATTCCCTGACAGGCAAATGATTCCTAAGACTTTCTTTTAAGACTTTCGTGGTTATTCACTAAATGATTATCACTAGTATCAGGTTTCTTACCACGGTATGAGCACGCTCCATGGTCACGGGTTGACTGGACGGCGGCAGATGACAGCTTTATGAGCAGACATATCTGTCTACCCTCTTGCGCTGTCGACGACTACCTTCACCGCGATTTGTTGTGGCGTTACCATTGTCACTCACTTTTTTCACACAAACCACGCTCACTGTATCCACACGCGAAACTGAACTCGAGGTGTTTTTGTTTTTATTACTGCGCGCACTAAGGACCGGATTCCATGCACTGGACAGTTTAAAACCATCATCACGGTTAAATGTTTTGTACTTCGTGATCTCGATGGCTTCTCGTACCAACCGTGGTATGTAGTGACGTTCTGTCGAGAGTACCTGGGGGCTATGCAACTCGATCCAGTGGTTAGTGTCAGTCTGTGTGAGATGTTGTGATATAGCCGACTTCTGTGCATCATTGTTTTTTACTGCTCGGATGTGTTCCTTCATATGATCGACAATTGTTCGTTTAGTCTGACCGATATACGAGCTCCCACAACTGCAGTTCACTTTATAGACACCCGGTGTTTGTAAAGGAAGGTGATCTTTTGGTGAACGTAACATTTTTCCTATTTTGGTTAAGGGGGTGAAAACAGTTTTTATGGAAAACTTCCTTAGCGACCTGGCTGTTTTATCTGTCACCCCTTGTACATAGGGCAGAAAAACTGGCAGTCTCTGTACGTCAATTTGCTTCTTCCTTGTGTATTGGTTTAAATGTTTTTATTTTGTATCCATTCTGTCGCAAAACCGTCTTAACGTGCTCCTGTTCCGGTGGTAGGTGGTGTGAATCACAAAGATCATAAGCTCTATTGGTTAATGACATGACGACCGAATGTAGGTGTTTTGGGTGATGATGTGAAGTGGCATGTAAATATTTTGAATTGGGTAGAGCAATCCATATTTTATTTAATGTCCTATTGCTTCATATAAGATTAAAATTTAGATGATTAAACCGCGCACTTTTTACAGAGGTCAAGTGTATACGTGGGGTAAAGGAGACGGATACCGTTTGGGACATGGTACATTGGAGACCATTCGTATTCCTAAAATGTTAGAAGCTTTACAAGGTAAGCATTTCTCAAAACTTTTTATTATAAACGTACAAAATTGGCGTCGGACTTGTATCTTTATTTTCTTACGACCAGGAGTCAAAATCGTCGAGCTATCGTTGGGTGCTTCGCATGGAATCGCATTGGCTTCTGAAGGTGCATTATACGCTTGGGGCACCCATGAACGAGCGCAGATAACTCGACACGTACCACAGCTTCTGCAAGTTCTTAACCCTTCTTTTAAAGCAAACGGTAAGTATATTTTTGCAAACTTCTATTTTCGGCTAGAATTCTTTTACTTTATTCGACAGCTAATATCCCACTAAATAATCAAAGCATAAAGCATCAATAAAATTTGGTAAATGTTCACTATAAAATGGTCGCAATTTTGCAGGTATGACAAGTGGTCCCACACAGATTTTCGTTTGGAGTGAAGAGAGTCCCAGAGATCTACCGTCTTCCTTGCCTTTCGTCATAGACTTGTCTGCTAGTACTTTCAAGTAAGGCCATTTCTAGAAACGGCGTATTTTTAAGTGATTTTAGATGCTACTGCTACTACTTTAAGACTTATTTTAATTTCTATTTTAGATTCTTGGAAAGACTGCTAAGGATAGTGTTGGACCAAAGCAGTTCGGCCACCATGAAGGAAAACGAATGTCTTGCGATTTCTTGTCTTAATCTACTACGATTACAGGTAAGTGTCCTCGCTATTGTATCTAAGTATATTCTAGACTGAACTTCACCTTCTTGAATGTCCTAGTAAAGTCTCCTTTTCGCTCCTCAAATCATTGCACTGGCCACGAACCAGTGTCTGTTGCCTCAACGTGGATACTAAATTTATAAAATCTGCTGGCTCGATTCATAGCTCAGTTGGTAATAGCAGTCGCCACATTGAGGCAAAAGACACTGTTTCGACTTCAGTCGGATCGAAGAATTTATCTTTGTGTTTGGTTAAATATTTGTGTCAATAATAATACTTAATTAATGGAGTATTTTCGCAAAAATAGATCAATATCATGCTAGTCAAAGATTATTTATTCCATAGGTAAAATAAATTTACACTTGAAAACGTCACATTTAAGCTACTGCTCGCTCTCTACGCTGACCTCCCTGAGAAGAACGAGCAAGAAACTCTAGGGATTGCTCTTTTCAAATAAACTTAAATGCTATGGAATACACTTTGAATCAAATTTGTGTGAATTCTGTCATTCTCCTTCCATGTCGTCTTTCCATACATCTTTATCTAACGCGTAGTCTTCAATTTTGTAATATGATTTTTCGATCAAAATACTTTTAATGTAGTTTTTAAACTTGGGAAATGATAAACTTAATATATGCTCAGGAATCTTATTGTAAAAACGTATACAGTTCCCCATAAAAGAGTTGTTTACCTTGGTTAAAAGAAATCGTGGTACCATGAGTTTGGATTTAGCTCTAAGGTTAATATTATGGATATCTTCTTTCTTATTGAAATTATGTATATTTTTACGGGCATATAAAACATTTGAGTAAATGTACTATGATGCCACAGTCATGATACCAGTCTCCTTAAACTTTTCTCTGAGAGAAACCCGAGAGCCTAGACGGTACACAGAACGAATCGCTCGTTTTTGCAATACAAATATAGTTTGAATATCTGCCGCTTTACCCCACATGAGAGTCCCGTAGGACATTATACTATGGAAGTAACTAAAGTAAAGTAAAGTAGTAAAAACATCGCGATATTTAATAAAAATAAATATACCACTTATATTTCAAGGTACACGCGTGGCAATGCGCTCGTGGTCCTGAAATAGATGACAATGACGAAGGTCGCTCGTGGTGTGCCGGCGTACATACTGCGTTAGTGGCATTGGTAGAAGGCAGGGCTGGTCCAGCTGCAGCCGCCGCTGCCAGGCGAGCACTGGCCGCGGCTTGGCCGATGTTGTTGCCTACTCCGCAAGTCAGAGCCCAGCATCTAATTGCTTTGTTGCCACAAGGTAGGTAACTGTTACCATAACCAAAATTCATTCAGGCCGTGATGGCCTTGGTAATGCGCCGAATCGACTACTCGTGCCTAGTGCAAGACAAATTCTATAGTTTTTGTTTATTGCGTTGACTTGTCCAAAGTTTAATCCATAAAAAAATATGTTTTGAAGTTTTATTTGCTATGTGAGTATGGTAGGGTACAAAATACGTGCGCGGGAACTTGTTGAAAGTATTCAGAGGTATGCTATACAATTTGTTGTTACTAGGGGTATTAGACTTATGCCTTTCTGATACTGATGCACCGTCTCTCGGACAACTTCTTGACCGAATGTCCGTTAACGTGACGTTGCGCACACTGAACGTAATGTCAAATAGGATCGAATTGTTCCACAGTTCTCTTCTTAGTGGATTCACAAAGATAGCGCTTTACATGTTATGTTACATGTAGTAATTTTGCTGGTCTATGGCATTGGGTTGATAACCAGTAATAATAGATTAAGTTTTGGAAATAAATAAAAAATAAAACGAATGCCGCTAAATTTACTTAACCTTTTCAAGGCGAGAGTGAATAGGCATTATTTAGGAGTATATGCTCTATTGTCGACCACATCATCCATCAGGGGAGATGGAGGTCAAATTCGCACTTATTTAAAAAAAAACTTTTGAATGTTCCTATAGAGTAGGTTGGGTCATGTAAAAATTTCCATTTTGAAAAAAATCATATTATCAGAAAAATAAATATTTTTCCGGATATTTTTCCAATATTTTTCAACATTTGACGTTGACACCTGTCAAAACTTGAAGCTACTGAACGTGCGTTGATTTTAAATCTCGTTTTTCTTTATATGGCTTTTAGCTATAAAGTTTATTTTATAATTCACGCTAAATAAAACTTAAAAAGATATTTTTAAAAGCAGAACAAAATATGAGTCTTCCAAATTATATCCTTCAAATTTTTCCAATTTTTCGGAAAAAATAAAAAAATTATAATATAAAATATAAAAAATAATTAAAAAAATTTCCACTATTTGAAATTTCGGAATATTACCCAACAGTACAATGGAGTGAAATGAATTGAAATGTTCAATCATCTCGGGGCAAAGGACATCTCGACTGTCAAATGAAACTGTCTCGTTTTACAGGGTCGGTGCCAGCAAGCGCGGGAGCTCGATTTATGACGGAACTGCTCGTGTGGTCATTGCTCGGGGGCGGAGGACTGCGCGATGCGCTGCGCAACGCTTTACAAACACATTCCACTGACGTCTACAACCATCTTCAACTCGATGCGTAAGTTCGGGAACTTTATGTGTAGTGATTAACAGGCAAAGACATTTTAGCATCGAATTTAGTAGCAGTAGAGCTCCTAGTGAGTGTTCGTTCAGGGAAGTACTGTCACCTTACCTATTTCTACCGCCAAGCAGTAATGCCAGCATTACTGTGTTCCGGTTTTGAAGAGTAAGGGTGTTGGTGAAGTTACAGGCACATGGGACTTGTGAACGTATGTCTCGGGTGACGGGCGCAGTGGCGGCACTTGTTACTATATATAAAAAAATGTGGCACTCAATGGGATGTAGTAATAATGGAGCAAAGCAAAAGAAGTTAAAACACAATGGAAATTGACGAATTTGTTTTAGCGGGAGCATAAGTTAAACCTTCCTACATACGTCGTCGTATTCAGTGAGTCGACTGGCGCAGGATCCACCCCAGGACGTGGACAACTCTCATGCGTCACTGCGTATACAGTATGCCGCATATGTTCTCCTAATATGTTGTCACCCGGGTTTGCTTGCGAAATTATATTTTATATCACCGAATCACGGTTTGGTAACCGTGTAAATATTGATAGCCTAGTTTCAAGTTTCGTGTTAAATACTACAGAAGTCCACGCAATTCACTGAAACAAACCTACAACTTTTAATTGCAAATTTACTACAGAAAACCAGATTTTTATGTACAGTATGTCCATGTGCCTGTCGTATTTAAATAATAATACTAAAAGTGATAGTTTACGTTTTTCTATTAATCTAACACTTTAGATAGTGTCACGAATTATTATTACTACGATACCGGACATTATCATCGTCATCAACTCAGTTATACGTCCCACTGCAGGGCACGGGTCTCCTCTCAGGCGAGAATTTAGGCCATAGTCCGCCACGCTGACTCACTTCGGTTTGGGGAATTCCACAGACATATATCTAGATAGACGACGCAAGTGTACGTACTTCGCGTGTTCAAAGTAAGTGAAATTCACTTACTTGCCGCTGCTACACTTCAGAACGCGCTCGACCGTTATCGTAGATAAACACCAGTCGAAAATGCGAAAAATGTGCATTAGAAACTACGAAAGCACCATAACTGTGGGTAAACGAGTAAACAGGGACGTTTCCTTCTATAGGCAAGTGATTTTGTAATCAGAAAATGCATAATTTATTTTAAAAACAATTATTTTGGTTTTGTATGAATTTCGAGAAAACAAATATGCAACCCAGTGTAGGCCTCATATTTGTAATACATTGCGGCTTTTACTTGGTGCGATATATTTGTGATCCTTTGTTAATACCCCATGAATATCGAACGAACGCACTTTTGCATAAAGCTTTCAGTTTCTGTGGTACGGCCGCTTGTACATTTTTTTGGCCAAATTTAACATTTAGTGATGTATACGTTAGGCAACACTGTTCTCGATTCTGATCGATTTTAAAAACAAAGGGACGAATATTATTATGACCTTAGTAATATTATAAAAATATTCTATAACTCTTTTGTTGTAACGTGTAGTAACGTTTCGTTTGTGGTATCTATTATCAGTAGTATATGTAATTTCGATAATTTTTGCAGCACTTTGCCTCGAATGTCCGAATATAGTGAGCAAATAATTACTTATTAATTATTACTATTATTTAATCATTACGAGTAATACAAAAAAAATATAATGCAAAGAATTAACAGTTTGCTGTCTTTACAAAATCCTGGATTTGGTCATACGTAAGAGTTCGTTGCTTTCGAGGACGAAGGTGGTCTAGTTTATCCCACCTAAGATGCTATCCAAATATGCAGAGTAGCAGAGTTAGAAATCCAAGAAATAATAAACAAATAACAAAAATTTCACACGAGGTCATCATTAAGTAAACCTCTTCTGATTAGTAACATGTTACCATATTTTGTCAGTAGTAACATTTTCATTTGTCTTGCCATTCATTAATTTGAACAATTACCAACAGAAAACTATCTAGTAAAATTAAGTAAGACAGTCGCAAGTTCATATATTGAGGTGCGTTTTCATTATTTAAGTTAATCGATAAGATCTTCGGTTACAAAAAGATGTTATATAATAAGCTCATTTTACTGGAAGGACAATAATTTTAATATTTAAAGTCGATTAAAAAGTAAAGTCTGAATTTTTAAAAAGTAAAATAAAGGACGAAACTATCTAATTCTAGTATTTTTTTTACTATATTAATATTTCGACTACTTGTAATAAACAAATACTTGAACAAAAATTATTCTATTTAGAATCGTTTAATTGAATGGAATACGCGTGTTTACGCGTATTCCGTTCAATCAATCGATCGAAAAACACTTAGTTGGCGTTTCTACGCTTCAGAACAAGGACGAAGATGGTCTAGTTTATGCCACCAAAGATGCTATCCAAATAAGCAGAGTAGCAGAGTTAGAAATCCGAGAAATCATAATCAACAAAAACTTTACACGAGGCCGACATTAAGTAATCCTTAAGTTACTTTAGTAAAATTTTAGATATTTTGTCAGCAGTAACATTTTCAGTAGTCTTGCCATTCAGCAATTTGATCAATCACCGACGGAAAACCATCTAGTAAATTTAATTAAGGCAGTTGCAAGTTCATATATTGACGTGCGTTTTCATTATTTAAGCCAATCGATAAGATCTTCTATTACAAAAAAATAGTTATATAATACGCTTATATTATTTCAAGGACAATAATTTAAATATTTGAAGTTGATTAAAAATTTAAGTTTAAATTATTAAGTAATCAAAATTTTTTTAAAACAACTTTTAATAAAGGACATAACTATCTAGTTTTGGTATTTTTCTACTGTATTAATATTTCACTACTACTTGTAATCAACGAATACTTGAATGGAATACGTGTATTCCGTTCAATCAATCGATTTAGCGCGGATGGAAGTTTCCCATCACTAATAAATAGTTCTTTTGACATCATGGTGGATACATAAAATGTGGCACGCTCGGTTTTCATACAAATTGCTGTAATTGCGGCGTCTATCTAGATATATGTCTGTGGCGATTTCACACGTTTTCGGAGGGTTGCGAACCTTCTTCGACTTGGTTGCAGGTTTCATCACGATGTTTTCCCTCATTTAAAAACTCATGGTAAATTTTAAGTTGAATTAAATTTCGCGCATAAATTCCGAAAATTCAGAGGTCCTACTCAGAGGCTCCAGCGACACTGGATTCCAACCTACGGCCTCTGTTGAAGAGGTCCTACATTATGCTACAATTTAATTTCGGTTACCTTTCTTTGCAGTGATTATGATCAAATCGATATTGTGACGGGACAGCGAGGTTCTCACGCGGCGTCTTCAGGTGAAGAACCGGATCCTAATTTAGGTACGACATTAATACATATAGATCTTATACAAACGTGACGTTGATAAGAAATGACCATCAGTAATTCAACCAAAAATATTTTTTTAGTGTGTACTGAGGAATACCAACTAAGTAATGCAACGTCAGCTGATAAGGGAGCATCGGTACCACTTATGCATTTGGTAAGTTTAAGAAACAAAGAGCTTACGGTGTGGACTTTCGATGGCACTGGAGGTCGCTTTTGCAATCTTAACTTTATTTCTAGGTGAAACATCTAATTCGCAATACAAGCTGCCAAACTCAAATGCATATAAACGCGATAATCAGCGGAGATACAAGCAAGGCCGATGACCCCAAAGGTCACGATACCATCAGTCCAAGCTGCGAACTACTCATAAGGTTTCAGAGGTATGTATATATATTTGATTACATTAATTTAATTGACGTCAAGGTGGTTATACAGCGGTACCTCCAATGAACACTACGCTAACTTATGTTTTGGCCCTGTTCTATTTTTATTATGTTTCTTTAATTTTTTTTCACAAATTCCGTTTTTTTGTTTTTTTTTTGAATTTTGTATTTTGTTTCTTAATTTATTTTCACAATATTCGGGGAGCATAATATTAGTAAATAAATATGGCTGTTTACGAAAATAACAGAAAATGACAAAAAGTAAAGTTGGCGACATGTAGGGGAATCTCCGCTGATGATATACCTGTGTTCTTTTATTTACTTTTCCTTCGATAACGCGTTCTTGCGTCTCTGCAGTCAGCGTTCTCCCCGGTTTACGCTTAGCCCCCGGTTTAGTGCTTCGACACTTCTATCTTTGATTAGAAACGAAGGGAGAAAAAGAGGCGGAGTCTTCAAACTCAATTGTCAAATTTTCATGACCTACCTTATTATTGAGTTCTGCTTAAAATCGTAATAAATCATGCTTGAGTAGACACGGTATATATTTTTAACGGACTTCTAAAAAGGAGGAGGTTCTCAATTCGACTATGTTTTTTTTTGTATGTTTGTTACGCGATAACTCCGGTATTTGTGAACCGATTTTCATGATTTTTTTTTTGTTGGAAAGAGTGTCCTCCATAGTGGTCCCATTTAATTTTGAAGAAAATCATCCACCTCAAAGGGTTGTTGTTCACGCATGAAGATTCATTTTTATAAATAGCGCCTAAATTTTATTATAAGGAGCAATTATTTTAATGGTTCATTTTGCTATTCTCCAATTCAACTGTAGTGAGAACCGATGTTTATTATCTCCTGTGTCAAGTCCCGTATAATGGCGAACTAGGGGATGAATCCGGGTTTGCGTACTTTCCGGTAACCGATTTTAATAATACTTAGTAATTATATGTAATTCCACGTACTTTTGAGGTCGGTTTTTTTAGTACTCTGTACTGAGATTATGTGCTTATATTATTTGTGGTACACAAAATACTTATGTAAATACTACTAGAGACGCTAAACATTTGTAAAGCCTTAACGCGTTCAGCCCGACTAATAAAGCTGACATGTAACAATAATAATAATAATAATTAATCTTTTAGGCCTTGGGAGAGGCGAGAGTTTAAAATAAATAATAATAATAATAATAATGTGGAAGTGTTTAGTCACATTTTGAAATCTCTGATAATATTACGCAAAAGTATTAATCGAAGCGCAAGCAAGCGAAGCTTTTTTGGCATCTACACAAATAGCTCAATTCCGAACGAAATTACCCAGTCGCTCCTCAACAGATACCGAGATGATTGTAATCAAATGTCAAGTGATCAAAATATCTTTGCAAAAATATTTTATTTGTAAAATATTCTGCTTGCAAATGTAAAAAAAGGACAATATGAAAGACTGCGTTTCGGCAGGAAATCGACATTCATCAAAATATACGTGAAAGTGTTACTTATTCCATTTATTGACTGATTGCTTTAGAATTTTCACTGAACCGGTTTGTTTACTTTTTTTGGCATAATGGATTGGAACAGACTATAGTCATTTCTACTTCCGTATCAACAGCGAATTCACAGCATGTGGTTGAATTGTACAGATTGCTGTTCTGCGAAGCGATGTGGTCACGCGGCGGCCGTAGTACGCGAGGCGGCGTACGTGCTATCATAACGCAATACACGGCACTACTCGCCGAGCACGTACAGTCCACGTTGCGCTCATTCACCCGCTCTGTTCGCCGTGCTGACAACGAACAACTTGTAGCGCTCTGTGACCTTATTTCTGCTGATATTGTTGGTATGTCATTTTTATTGCATTGCGTATCTGTAACCCTTTTAATTATAAGATAACCAACGAAACAAATATTGCCTCTAATGGTCGTATTCTAGAACTCTACTCAATGCTGAAGTCAGGATTTGAGTATGATTTAAAGCACTCGAAATCATACTCAAGTTCCTGTCATTAGGGTCGTATTTCCAGTACTTGTGTTTCCAGTGCAATCCTGACGTGAGCATTGAGCAGAGTTCTAGAATACGACCCTAAGATTATTTATTTATAAACTTTTTGATGATGGAGTAAATTCACACATTCATATTCACAGTTCATTGCGAAAAAGTGTTGCCCGCTTGCAAGTAGCTAGTGTTGGTAGTCGATAAGTATTCTATCGACTGTCCACTGAATGTTGGTCACGCTTATGCAATGAATAGCCAAACTTGTTTCATCCGAATCATCATCGGCCCATTATTCGTCCGACTTCCGGGCATAGGTTCGTTTGAACTGTTGATTTTTGTAAGTTCATACATATCTGCATTTAGAATTATGTCTATTAAAAATGCAATAAGGAGACATACTTAAAGTTTTTCAATTTAATTCAATATAGATTATCAAATCCGTCTGTTCTTAAAAAAGTATTATGAATAAAAATTGATTTCGATGCTATATTCCGTCCCACAATTTATTTAACTTTTGACATATGCGTGCCTCAGACGTTCATTAATTGTTGATATATAACCATAGACAAAAAATGCAATACTTCCAGGACTCTTCTATTTTTTAATTTTAGTGAAGCGATGTCCCCTTTAGCTACTATATTTATCGAGCCAACAGATTACGTAGCGAAGATTATTCAAGTTGATAAATTTTGGTACCTGTCTAATAAATTATAATGAAATGAAATAACTTATAAATAATTATAATAATTTTTTATTGTTGATCGTCGGATTCTTCTCCATTATGAACGGGAAGCATCACTTAAATCCTCATTACATGAATTATTAATTCTTGAGAACAAAATTGTCAAACGCAACATCACGATCCCAATCATACAATATCTTCATTTTTTAACCCGCTTACATTCACGATTAAAACTGCTTCAAAAATAAAATCGATTGTTATAAAAAATCGAATCGGAAACGCATTAGGACTTCACTAATTGATTGATGAGTTAAATAAATGGTTGGACGGAGTATAGTACTATAATAGAGGGCTGTAGCTCAGACGCATTGCGAGAGGTACTTTTAA